TAAAATACTTTTTTGCATTTGAACTGAGGTGAATCTCAAAAGCTCTGCAATTTCTTTTGACCTCCTATGTACTCTTTCTTCAGTTCTCTTACCTTTTCCACTGTTGTCGTTCCAACGGTTTTATCAACTTCTTGAGGGGAACGTTCCGTTCACATTCATTAGATCTTTCAAAAATTAAGTGTAAATGAATGCATCAGTGATTTGATCAAATAGTAGTAGAGATGATTTTGCTGTTTTTGAGAGGTCTGTTCATATTCGACGTGACTGTTCCAAATAACATGAATTTTCTTTGGAACAACTTCTGCAAAACAACTTGACGTCTACAAGTTTTCGTCACGATTTTCTGCCACAAAATGAGTCTTAATCATACTTCAGTGTTGATGATAATCGCAGATTGCCAATACACAGTACGACACAAACCGCATTTAAGTCCAGGCAGTACTGTGATCCTGAAAAGTAAGAAATATTACGTCCGCCTATTGCGTTAATGATACTTCAGTGTTAATGTTTATGTTAATGTATAGAAACAAAATGTTGCATGTGGGGCGTTTAAGGTTATTTTAAACAATTTCGTGAAATTATGGCGAATAACGTTTCCTTCAACAGCAGTTGTATATTGCCTAAGTAGGCCACGTTATATGATGATAATGTCCCTTTAATTAAACCGTTCGAAAATTGAAACATAAATACAAACATATTCATAACAAAATATTTCACAAACGTGGATAAGGGCTAAACAATGATAACGATATTGAGTGACATTATCATGATTGGGCATAAAATCTTTTTGATTATTATTTCTATGATTTGAGTATTTCCTGACGAAGCATTACTGTGGAACTGTATAAAGACTATTGCTTGAAACTTCAACAGGATTCGAGCGTTGTGCGTTGAGTTACATTGTTTTGGTACAATCAAGAAAAATTCATTCTCGTCTCAACATTGTAGTGGATTCGTTTGTCGTGATGATTGTTTCAGTTTCATTCATTCAATTTCATTTCTTTCAATTTCAGTTTCACTGTTCACTTCATTTCATTCACAATTTCGTGAAATGCTTACATTATTTGTGCGCTTTCGATAGGGAGTATTGATGAATGCGATGTGACTAAGAAATGAACGCCAATTGCGAGAACGACAACGTTGAGGAAGTGTTACTTTATTTATTTTGTTGAGTGAGATCGGTTTCATTTGAAGCTGTTCGCAATAACGTTTTTCTATTGTATTTGTTTTTCTGATGGGGAATTGATGTGATTTATTCTTTTCTTGTGATTTCTAATAAAATTTCTTTAACAAAACTTGCTCACAGGCAATCATGATCACCATTCGCATAATTCGTTCGATTCATCGCCGTCAGTGCAAAAATTTTCAAAGAACACTGACGAGGTATATGGTAAAGAATCTCTGCAAGCATTTAAAACAGTTGGAAAATGTTTCTGAAAAGGAGAAAAATAGAAAATCATCACGTTCACCGAACAACCATCCATGACCCTAAATAAGAAACCGCATATCGATGCTACATAGCTATCACGGACCAGATTATTCAATTCAAACATGATTTACGGTGATTCCTTTGCAACAACGTCGGAATTTCGTGACACATTTGGATGAAGACGATTCTTAACACTTAAAGAAAGTATGCATAATATCGCCAGGCTCCACACAGTTCCAGATATACAGCTTATGACAGATCCAGCTTAATTGATCTGTATCTAACGGTACACACAAGTATGAAACATTTGCCAGTGGTTAGTGAATTGAAATCGAACATTATTGTGATACTGGAATGGGTAATTTCGTGCTTACAAAGGCTACATATCTTAAACAGAAGCATCTGCTATCTTACTGCTTACAGTATGGTTTGCATGGGTGGCAATAAGCCTTCACGTAATAACATTTGATGAATCGATTCTACGAGGTATCAATTCATCGAAGCATCTCAACTGCTTTCCTTAACAGTATGTTGAATATGGAAATCGCATATGTTATGTTCAGATGACCGTCACATCTTGCTAGCAACACGATGGTAATCGACATCCATAGGCTTTCGATCCAGCCGGATCTCTACATTCAGAAAAGTATATATTTTGCCGAGGAATTATGATTATACGAAAAGATGTAGCTATTTTCTCAATAGCTATATCTCTTCGTATAACATAGCTATACGGCTTACCATATTCAAGCCTACCGTAATCTCATCGTTCGTATTCTCTTGACCACTCTAGATAAATATATACATTAATATAGCGCTACAAACGTTACGATCATCAAGGTAACTCTCAGGTTTGCCCGGAAGCGTGTGAATTTGTTTTCACTGTTCGATCCAGCGGAACCTCCAGATTCAGAATGTTATAAATCTTGCTGAGCAATTTGGCTTAGTTGAGGATATATAGGCATTTTATAAAGACTATCTCGGATGCCACTTTCAAGGCTACCGTAAGCTCAAGTTTACCCAGTAACATATCAATTTTTTGCATCAGTCGATCCAGCCGGATCTCCTCATTCAGAAAAACATAGACATTGTTGAGCAGTTCTTCTTTCTTGAGAAGATATGGCCATTTTCCTAATGCTATACGGTTTCCCGTCCTTGGGTCTACCGTAATCTCTGTTCATATACCACTGACCACTGTAGATGAATATATGTGTCAAAATAGGGCTGAGGAGGTAACCGTCTTCAAGATACCCGTACTCTCAAGCTTGCTCTGTAATAATTGAATGACTTTGCACCATTCGACTGCTCAGAATCTCTATGTTCAGAATATCATATATTTTCCCGAAAAATTATGATTAGATGAGGTGGTATACCCATATACTCGATGCTTTACGGTTTGCCATTTTCGAGCCTACCGTCTTCTCAAGTTTTGCCAGTAACGTGTGACCTTCTTCGCACCAGTCGATCCAGCTGGATCTCCTCATTCAGAAAAACATATATATAT